CGTAATCGGGTTACATGTCATTTGGCCTGGAGAAACAGCTGTCTGTCTGAGGATGCCAAGTACCAGCTTTTTAACTGCAAAGATAACAGAACCAGTGTGAAAGAGCCTCGGGTTTCAATCTTCGGCTGCTCCAGCTAAAAATCAACCATTTTATATAGCATGTCTATATATAGACTGAGCTATTGCTTTTTACCAGTGATGTTTTAGTTTTAATTTTCCACTATTATTTAAACAACACAGGTGTATAATCACAATGTAAATACTGTTTTTTAAAAGTTTTAATTGTAGTAGGATAGACATAAGACTTACCAATTCAACCATTTTTTGAGTGTGTACTTCAGTAGTGTTAAGTATATTGACATTATTGTGCAACCGATCTTCAGACATTTTCCATCTTATAAAACTGAAGCTTAATACTATTTAGAAAAGCCGTTCCCCATTTCCTTGTTGCCTAAATCTTAAAAGCTACCACTCTACTTTCTGTTTCTATGAATGTGACCACTCTCAGTACCTCATATAAGGGGAAATATACAGGATATGTCCTTTGGTGAATGACACTTCATTTAGCATTATGTCCTCAGGATTAATCCATGTGTTAGCCATGTATTGCAATTTCCTTTTTTTGGTTAAGGCTGAAAAATATTCCATTGTATGCGACTACCACATTTTGTTTGTCCATTTGTCTGTGGGGGAAATCTGGGTTGGTTATAGGACATCTTTTGGTTATAGGACATTGCTATGGTTTGTGTCTGCATGTCCCCTCAAAGCCTCGTACATTCATGGGCGTGTGATTTTGGAGGCAGTTTGTGATTGATTTGTGGTCCAGTGCTGGGATTAAAGATGTGAATGCTACATCTGCCCTAGGGCAGGGCCTGCATACAATACAAGGGACAGAAAGAGGCATGTCTTGCTCTCTCTCCATTCTTGCTTTTGCTGTCTTCCACCACCATGAACTGTTGCCCCTCTGCCATGCCACCCTGCCTTGGATCCAGCTGATTATGGACTGGATCCTCCACAAACTGTGAGCTAAATAAACCTTTACTCCTTTAACTATAGATGTCAAGTATTTTATTTCAGCAACCAGAAAAGTAACTAAAACAGACATGCTACTATAAAGGTATATAAAGTTTTATATTATCTTTCATTTCTCGTGTGAGAATGTGTATGTGTTAATTTTTTCCAAGTTGATACATTGTCTTCATAATAATCTTTTTTCCCCACTTTTAACAATAACATGATAATCTTTTAAGTCCACATATTTAAATATTTTTCTTTAGTTGGACATTTGAGATGTTTGCAGTTTTCCCTAAATGCTATAGTAAAAGTTTTGTACTTATGTTTTCTACCTCCATCCTCCAATATTTTTAGTTGTATGTTAGGCCACATTCCTAAGAAGTAAAATTCCTACTAAGTCAAAAGGTGTGAAGTTTTTACAACTTAAAAGATAAAAGAGAAGCCAGGTGTGATGGTACAGGCTTGTAATCCAGTATTTTAGAAGGCTGATCCAGGAGGATTGCCCTGAGCATCTGAGCAACTTGGCAAGACCCTGTCAAAAAATAAAAAATACAGATAAGCTGGGGATGTAACTTAGGGAAAAGGTTCTGAGTTTGATCTTCAGTAGCACACACACACAGAGTGAAAGAAAGCAAAATTGCTTTCTAAAAGAATTACATATATTTTCATAACTATTGATAATATACATGAATTCTTGTTCACCATATTCACAGTTTCTCTCCTTTTACATTAAACCACTAACCAGAGCTCCTGTTTAATAGAAATATATTCAAATTATTAATAGTAGAGGACATTTGGGATGACAACCCTGGCTTGTCCTGATTGCAAGCACATGCACTGTATAGTTAACAAATATATATGTATGAATCTCACATTAGCAACATGTCCAGAGTAGACAACAAATAAATGGTAGCTAGTACCATTCTTGCTGTTGTTCCTATTAATGCTAAAATGTTATGATTCTTTGCCAATACCTCCTCTCTCATGCTATCAGTTCCCCAAATCATTGTTGTTTTGTATTTCTTGAGTCTTGCTTTATGGCATAAAACATAATCTACTTTGGAGAAAGTTTCATGGGTTACTGAAAAGAATGTGTGTTCTGCCATTGTTGGATGAAACACTCTGTAGGTAGCTGTTAAATCCATTTGATCTATAGTGTAGTTTAACTCTGTTTCTTTGTTTGCCGGTCTCTTTGTGTGAGCATGGTATTGAAGTCCTCCACTATGATTGTATTTGTGTTTATCTGTCCTTTTGTACCGTAGGGTTTGTTTTATGAGCCTGGATGTGCTGACATTCAGTGAATGCATATTTCCAATTGTTCTCTTCTTGGTGAATTGTCCTTTTCGCCTGTATGCAGTGGCTTTCTTTGTCTTTTCTGATGAAATTTGATTTCAAGTCAGCTTTGCTGGATATAAATATAACTATTTCTGCTTGCTTTTGCCTGCTTGGGGTTTCATTTTCCATTGTTTCATTTTTGGCTATGTGTATCTTTGCAGATGAGGTATGGCCCTTGGAGGCAACATATAGGTGGGTCTTATTTTTCAATCTAATCTGATAATCTGTGTTTTTGATTTAATTGTTATTGAAAGATATGTACTAACTTCTGTCATTTTGTTGGTTTTTTTCAATGTTTGATTCATTTCTGTTTCTCATTCATTTAATTACCTTCCCAATGAGATATATTCTTTCCCTTGGCCTCATAGTTATTATTTAGCATTCCTATAATAATTTATGGGAATAGATATCATCTCTATTTAGAATTCCCATAAATATTTTTTGCAGTGCTGACTTGGTGATCATGAATTTTCTTTAGTTTATTCTTATCATGCAAGATCTTTATTTCTCCTTTGATATTGAAGGAACAGCCTTGCAGAATATAGTAACCTAGGTTGGCAATTTTTCTTTTAGGGCATGAAAAACTTCATTCTAAGTCCTCCAGGACTTTAAAATTTCCATCAATAAATCTACCGTTATTCTTGTAGGTAACGTGGTGCTTTGCTCTGACAGCTTTTAATATTCTTTTCTGTTCTGAGTTTCCGGCATTTTGACTATGATGTGTAGTGGGTAAGTTCTTTCCTAGTCATACCTACTTGAGATTCTAAATGGCCTCCTTACCTTGGTATCCATCTTATTCCCCAGATTTGGGGAAACTTTCTATAATAATTTTTTTGAGACAGGGTCTTGCAGTGTAGTTCAGGTTGGCCTTGAACTCACTGTGTAGCCCAGGCTGGCCTCAAACTCTTGGCCATCCTCCTGCCTCAGCCTCCTGAGTGCTGGGATTATATGTGTGCACCACCACACCTAGCTGTATAATAGTTTTTAATACCTTCCTCTTGGACAATGTTTATATTGTTTTTTGTCTTTTTTTTAATTCTTCTTGAGCAATGCTTTCCTGTGCTTACCTTGTCTTCAATCATGATATCCTTTCTTCTGATTCAGCTTACCAACTACTGAGGCTTTCAGTTAAGTTTTTTATTTGACTTACTGAGGTTTTCATTTCTAGAATTTCTGCTTGTTTCTTTTTCACATCTTTCATCTCTTTACTGCAGTGGCCTTTCACATCCTGCACTGTCTTCCTGAATTTGTTCGGCTGCTTGTTTATGTCTTCTCTGAGCTTGCTGATCACTTTAGTAATTGACTCATTTAGACGCTTGTTGGTCTCATCTTTGATTTGATCATTTGAAGTATCCATGTTAAAAGTTCCTTCTCTGGAATTTTATCCACTTCAGTATCTATGGGCTCAGTGTTCGGAGAGTTATGAATTTTTGGAGGCACCTCATTGTCTTGTTTTCTCATGATTCCTGTTTTTGTGTTGATGTTTGCAGATCAGTAGGGATGGAAGACTCTACTTGTATTGTGGATATCTCCTTAATAAGTGATTTTATTTCTTTAATATGCCTTTGGCTTTGGGTGTGGCTCAGCATGAAAGCACCTATTCAACCTATTTAGGATACTGTACTAGGTTCAATATCTAGCACTGCATTGTGCAGAGAGAACCACTATCAGTGACACTGACATCCAAAGAACCAATCATGTATCAAGATATAATTTAAAACTTGTTTTAAATGTTCTCCACCCTTTCAGTAGCCAGGGAAGATAAAAGAACAGTAGTAATATAGGACAGATCAGGAAAGAAAAAGAAAGAAAAGAAGAAATGAAGAGGAAGGAAAGAAAGAAAAAATGGCTTTTAATGACAAATTTATATACCAAGAAAGGATGAAGGGAAGAGAGGTTTAAGAGGTTATGTCAGGGGAAAGAAAGAAAGAAAACAGACATGGGAATATAAGTGGAAAGTGAGGGAAGATATAGGAGGATTGAATCCAATTAATAAGCTAGCAGAAACATGAAGTTAAAAGATCCAAATGTTAACCCTTGGAGGGAGAGAACTTGATAAAACAAGGTCAGACTCTATAGAAGCAAAAGCAATAGCTAATGTAAACTTAATACATACGTTGCAATGCACTGCTTCAACTAATTCCTTATCTTTCCAAATGCCAGTGTTTAAGGTTTTTGCCTGGTTAGTAGCTCATTCATGATGCAGTTCCACAATTTCCTGTGGCACACCGCCACCTTCCAAATATCCCAATGGCTCTTAGTATTAGAATAATACTGGCCCATACTGTTATATCTTATATCTAGATGTGCCTCAAAGGCCTCATGTGCTCATAGGTGGGGCTTTTCAGAGGTGGTTGGTTCTAGGGTGTGTGAAAATGAATTAAGTACATGGGATAACTTAATTGGTTTAGCACAGTTCTGGTTGTGGATAGGGGAGGCCCCACCCCGGGTATGAGTGGCACCAACCAACAGGGTTGTAACGTGGATGGAGTATAAATGGAAAGATGGAAGGCAGGCTTCACTGCCTCCTGCCTGCCCTGCCATGGACTGTTTCTCCTCTGTGATGTCCCTCTGCTGCGCCGCCCTGCCTTGAAGCCAGCCTGCTATGGACTAAAACCTCCACAAACTGTGAGATAAAATAACTCTTTCCTCCTTTAACTTGTGGATGTTGGGTATTTTGTTTCAGCAATGAGGAAACTAACAAAGACACATACTGTCTCTCAAGATTCCAAAATGGGGCTGGGGATACAGCTTAGCGGCACAACACCTGCCTGGCAAGTGCGAGGTCCTGAGTTCAATTCCCAGTTCAAGAAAAAAGAAAAGATTCCAAAGTGAGCTGTACTCTGTCTTACAGCCATTCATCCAGTAATCCACACAAGAAAGATTTGCTGGAGACCATTATGTCCCAGATACTAAACTGGTATTGAGATGCAAGGGCTGTGCCTTTACTCAGGCCACAGAGATTGGATTGTTTGTGGCTTGAGAACATCAAGCACAGTTCATTATACCTTATTTTATTTTTTTGCTCTGTACAAGTTCTGAGATTTGTTTCTTTCCAGGAAGCAATTAGGGTATGAGGAGCCTCTGACTAAGTAGCAAATGACAGGAAATGTGCCCTGGTTCCATCTTGTCTTACACTCTATATTCTGAGCCAGGCAAGAGTTAAAGGGTTTGATGACAGATAAGCACCTACAAAAAGCAAGTCAGTCCAGTGCCTCTGTCGTTAGAAAGCTATCTCTCCCTCCCTGTGTGCTCCCCAGTCCTGCCTACCTGCCTCTGACGCAGGGAGCCAAGGGTCTGATTGAAACTTGTTGAAGGCTCCAATTAAATCTGTGTGGACAAAGGGCACACACACACACACAGCATCCTAAGATAACATGTGGCAATAAATCCTTCAGCACATCCACATTCAGAGAACAGAGAACAGAGAATAGAGTCCCTGCTGCCTGGTGAGCAGAACGGCTGCCGATAACTCACTAGGTGCCTCACACCAAGATGGGCTGCAAGGTAAGATTTTTTTCTCTCTCTCTTCGAACAAATTTAATACTTCCTTGTCATTTTTGTCCCTCATTAGAGGAATTTTATTATAAACTTTACTACTGATTTGTTAGGAATTTCCTGATTTTCTTTCTTTTTTTGTTTTGAGCTCTCTCCTTATAGTACGTATGTTGTTCTGCTTAATATCTTGTAGTTTTCATTGTTTTTCTTCTTTCAGTCTTTAAGTATCTTAAGTAAGTTTGTATTTGAAAATTCCTTAGTTAAAGAAGTGAGGGGTCTTCAATAACTGCATGCAGTGCTTGGTTAAAGGTTATTTCAGAATTTGGTTCATTTGGGACCTTGGCCACTTGAACTGCCATTTGGAGAATGTTCTTCCAGTCCTGGCCTCAGAACAAAGTAGCTCAGTTTTTGGGGAACATCCAGTGTTTCAATCTGATGTTGAACTCCAGAGAAATCATTTAAAATTATTCGCTACTTTATTATGAAATCTGTTCATTACACTGCATTGTATTTAGAAATAATAAAAATAAAAAAGATAATTGAAATCATCAGTTATAAACAGCCAGCATTTCAGTATAAAAAATGTGCCTATATATTTATTTTTTAATAATAAAAATTATTATAATTGAACTCCAGCTGTAAACACAGATTAATATATCTGTCTCTCTCTTTTTTGCTTAACATTATACTTAAAGTATTTCCTAAGTCATTGTGATTGTATGAAAAAAAGACTTTAAAATATTCCATTTTCACTAATAAAAACTCAGTTAATAATTTTGATCATTAATCTTTGGCTGCATCTCTGATAATTTCTTTTGGATAGGTAACTTGAAGTAAAGTTACTGAATCAAAAGCAAACATGTACTAATAAAAATCAAAATAGTAAACAAAATGATAAAATTTTTAGGATCTGAAACATTTCATGACAGTGGCCTATTTTAAGATTTTAAATGATTGGTATTGTTGATATCACAACAGAGGCCATACAAAAGAAGATGAAATCTTCCCTGAAACTATGATTACTTGAAGTTTGACTAGGTACTGTGACTGAATGCTGGTGAATTATAGGAAACCCTAGAAGGGACACTAATCATGAAAGTCAGTATCTTACACAGGGTAACACGTCTTTCTGAGCAAGGGTTCACAGTTTAAACAAAGGAATAAGAGCACATCTAGTACTCTGCAGCAAAGAAAAATGGTAGATTGGAAGCATGCAAGTTAAAAAGCTTGGGCTTTCAGCCTACTTGACATCAGTTGTACAATCCAAGACAAATCTCCTTAGCTCCTGAGGCTCTGACTTTGGAGCCGTTAGATAAAAATTCTAGTCCAGCCCAATGTTTTTCAACGAGCAACCTAAATGACTCTGGACTGCATAAGATGTATTGGGGTGGTACATGGAATGTAGACTATCATTTTTGGGTGGTAGATATAGGACAGAATATTTTTGCATAGTACATAATATTACTTTTAAAAAATCTTTTAAATTTTATTTAAAAGAGAAAAAAGTAACACAAAATTTCAAAACAAGATGTCTTTAAATTAGTTACTCAGAGTACAAGATAATTGTCCAAACCTTATTAGCACAAACTGTTCTTTTCAATGAACTAAGAGAAATGAGTAATATAACGATCTTAACTATCTTGTATATATTTATATTTTTTAATAAAATTACTTTTTAAAACAGTATTTCAAAAGCATGAACTTAGAGGGGAAAAAAAGGAAGTAATAGTTCTAAACAATTAATGACCTAACAGTGACCCAAGCCAGTGACCAGTCAGTGACCCAAACAATGACCGAAACAATCAAGATGAGAGGCAAATGTCTGACATCTAAGAGATACGGGGCTAGGTGACCTGTACTGTCTGTTAGATGTGCTATGTATAATTCAAGATATGAATTGTTGGTAAGTGGTGCTTGCCTTGAAGGTACCCTGGGAATTGGTGGAGTTATTATTAAGAAGTATAAGAAATGAGTGGTGACAAATTTTTCCAATATCATCCTATTAGCTATAACCTGTCACACTTTCCATTTTAGCAGTGAGTATCACTCGCTGGGCAGACTTGCTCTCCATCTCTGTAAAGGTACCAGCCTTTACCTGGAGGAGTACCTACTCCAGGCTCGCCATGCTCCAGGAGGTCCTGGATGTGCCTCGGCGGGTGCTGAAGGAAGGGAGAGAGTCCCGGCAGCTGGTATTGGTGGTGGTGTTTGTAGCTTTGCTCCTGGACAATATGCTACTTACTGTGGTGGGTAAGTTAGTGTCTTGGTACTGAGGGTTCGTTGGCTTTGGGCCCTGGCAGGCAGCACATACCCTGCTTAATTTCAGCAGTGAGCAAACTTCAGAATTTTTCTGGTGAAAACACATGGAAGCCTCTAGGGGTCAGAGGGAGCTGCAGGCAATGAGCATAAAGCTTGCAAGCCGTTGTTACTGACTCCAGGGTCTCAAAGAGATGGAGGTTTAGAGAGCATCTGGCTCAAAAAGAGGAAGCCAGGGAACCAGAATGACCTTGCTTTCCTTCCTCCTCATTCCATCTTCCCAAGGTGCTAATGACTCCGGTGACCTCTGAGACAGTAAGTGATAGGTTTTTTTTGGCACAGATAAGAATAGAACAAAATAAAAAATGCCTTTATTGCAGGCACAGAGAAGACCACAGCAGAAAGGAGGGATGTAGAGCTTTTGAGGGCCTGGCCAGGGAAACAAAGACTATATAGGGCTAGGCTGGGGGTGGGGTTTAGGGGATGATCTGTGTGACTGGTGGGTAGTGATTGGACAGGGGGTGGGAAGAGGAAAACAGGATGTTGTAAAAAAGGAAGTAGGAAGTTGTAATATGACCTGGGAGGAGGAAGGTGGAGCCTGCCACATGGCCTCCAGTGGGCTGCGCCATATTGGCTTGGCACCATGATGGCTTAGCAGAATTTTTATTAAGGTGAAAAACTCATCAGTAAGTAGCTTTGCCTTTCCAGCCTGTGCCCTCCAAAAATAGTATACTGCATTGGGTGTCCAAGTCCTTACCAAACCCTACTTTTCCCACAATCCTGCTTTCTCTGCTTGATGCTCTTTTAATTTACACATTATATTATTGCCAGGATAAAAATGGTTATTAAAAAGTTGCCCCTCATGAGTATGATGTATGCCTTTAAATAAGAATCTTCCCCAGATGAACATTTTGGTACATGCCTGTAATCCCAGCACTTAGGAGGCTGAAGCAGGTGGATCACTGCAAGTGAAATCTGGCCTCAAAAAGACAAAAAAAAAAAAAAATCTTGCTGAGACAGATGACAAATAGTTAATCAAATATAGTCAATTCTTATTATTCTTGGTTCTATACTTATAGCTATGTGCTATTAAATTGTTGCAAACACTGAATTAGGCAATACTGAATCATTGTAAGCAGAATCGCACACAATGCCCCTCACACCACATAGACTGAATTCTAAAAATAATGCATCCTGCTAATTTCTATTTTCTCTACAAAAAAAAAATTAAGTTCAGAGGTGTTAAATGATATGGCCAAGGCCACCAGCTAACAGGTGCTAAAGCTGGGATTCAAACATCATGGAACCACCCCAGAGCCGCAGCCTCTTAGACCACACCACACTGATTCCTATGCCTCTTCCAGCTCTCTGGTCCCCTGTGTGTAAGGGCTGAGACAAAGGGGCAATGCTCACTTCTTCTACATCAGCCAGAATGAGCACAATGGGTACTTCACATTTTTAGACCCTCTTCACTGGTCTGTAAAAACTCATGATAGCTCAGCAAGTATTGATTTTAGGTTATAAGTAACCTTAGTGCGTAGTGAGTTACCAAGTACAGAATCCAGCCACCCATGAGAACAACTGTATGATCCTTGGGATTCAGGCCCTTTTGTAAATAGGATAATATGGGCAGGCAGATCTTTACTGGGTAAAAGATGTCACTTGGACATCTTCCATTAGTATAAAACCAAGCCCCATGGCAATGCTCCTGAACCTAGTAATGGTGAAAAGATTATCTGTCCTTAGCCTTCATCATGTCTTCATTGACTTTCAGTGCCCATTGTGCCCACCTTCCTGTATGCCACAGAGTTCAAAGAAAGCAACTCTTCTCTGCACACTGGCTATTTCCTAAGTTCCCTGCAAGCTCCCACCTCTCCTGCCTTCTCTGCCATCTTCTCGTTTTTTGACAACACCACCATCATTGTGGAAGAAAGTGTTCCCAGGAGCACAGTATGGCCCAATGGCTCTTTTGGCACCATCCCGCCTCCAGTCACAGAAGCCAGCTCAGCACATAAAAACAACTGCTTACAAGACACAGAATTCTTGGAGGAGGAGAACTTTCGGGTTGGAATTCTGTTTGCTTCAAAGGCTCTGATGCAACTTCTGGTAAACCCATTCGTGGGACCTCTCACCAACAGGTATCTCAGTAGGCACGGTACTCCACAGACTCAGGTAGTAATAGCTGTGTGCTGAAGTTTCATATAGGTGGTTAGAAGGAATCATCGCTCTTGTCCAAGGGGAGTTAGCTATTTGGAAAGCTGATTTCTCCAAAGGATGATATATTGGTGAAATGTGGGCTTCTTGTTTTCTTAGGATGTAATGAATACTAAATGTCAAGCAGAGAACCAGTGAGAAGCAGCTTACAGCTGATGTCTCATCGGTGCTCTGAAACAGAGCTTGAGTGGGAAGAGCAGGAGAATCTAATGCAGTCTAAAGTACTGGGGCTTCTACTGTGTGTCTGAGATTATCCTGGTGTTTTAAGGCAATATACACCATATAAGCTATCCTTTCTGGAAAATGGGGATTTGGCTTTAGTCCATGAGATAAGTTTCATATATATTTATTTTATTTACTTGTGCTCATCACATGTTATATCCCATCTCCACACTTGCATCCATAGGCAGGTTTTACCATGTACTCAAATTAACTGCATTTCTGTTCCCACTTACGTTAAAAATATATGTGTATATGAAAGCTTGTTGGAATTGAATCTTGTTCAATCCCTTTTTAGGGTTGGATATCACATTCCCATGTTTGCTGGCTTTGTGATCATGTTCCTCTCCACCATTAGTAAGTAAATTGCTTCCCCATCTCTTCCCTTTGCTGAGTGCCTTTGATTTTATCATGCAGTGTAGAGAACAGAGTAAGTTCAGCCCAGTGAGTAATTAGACATCTGAGTAAGTGGACTCAAACACTGATTTCAATGATTTGTAATTTTTGGAGTACAGACTAGAATAGTAGTAGCAACATAATCTAGTTGGAATGTGTCTATTCTGCTGAAGAATAGATTCTTCATTTGTGTCAGTGGAAACCGTGAAAGTTGTTTGAATGTGTGTGTGTGTGTGTGTGTATGAGTGTGTGCTACTATTAGTAATTCCCTGAGTAAATGTAGTACAATCACTCCTTCCACCCCATGTTAGGGAAGATATCATAGCAATTTTTTTCTTTTTTCTTTTTTTTTGTCTTTTTGAGACAGGGTCTTGCTATTCAGTTCAGGCTGGCCTTCAGCTCACTTTGTAGCCCAGGGTGTTCTTGAACTCACAAGGATCCTCCTGCCTCAGCCTCCCAAGTGCTGAAATTACAGGAGTATGCCACTATGCCCAGATATCATGGTGTTTTGATATGCTTTGTGAAGGCCAACTAACAAAATAAAATGAAAGTTGGACAATAGTGACTGAAAAATTCCAAAAGTTTACTGCTTTCCAGCTAAGGGCACTAAAGGTTATAGCTTAGGAAAATAAATTTGCTAAAGGAACAAGAAAGGAAAAGGGCAAATACTCTATTCAGTATCAGCTAAGTGTTCCTAATAATATGAGGATGGAATAGAAATAGTAAGAAAAGTATAGTTGACCCTGAGATGTAAAGTAAGTAAGAATGCAAGGGGAATCCAGATTTAGGGGGTAATTTTGCAATGGCAAGCAGAAACACCGAAACTACACTCAGGATTTGGAGGCAGATTTATTTAACATTGGATGGGCACTGTCAGGGAATTAATTATCCCTCAAAATGTCAGGCCCCAAAGGCTCAGGGAAGGAGGTTTTTATGGGGTTGCAAACAAGAAGCTGAGAACTTGGCTGTCTTGGATTAGTTCTTACAATACGCATCATAGTGATCAGCTGTGCATCACAGTGGCCAGCCATTTCTAGGAGACAGTAGTGACAGGAACTGTGACAGGAACAATTACCTGGGCAACTGAGAAACTGAAGTATACTGGCTGGGGGCCTTTTCCTATTACAGTTTAAGAGCAGGAAAACTGTGGACCCATCAGTGACTCCTGCAGACTCTGTTGACTTTCTGCTTTCCAAAAACATAACTTCTGTCTCTTGTTTTTATTACCTTTCTGTAAATGATCTACTTCCTGTACAACTCCTCTTCCATTTTTTTACCTCCCAGCATAGGATTTGACTCCTACTGACCCACTGTTTAACAAGAATGTATTACAATCAGGGGTAGAAATCAAAAATTAATGAGATCATCTAATAAGTCTTAGAAATCATTTCACAAAACTTTATGAAGCACATGTATTATGTCAGTTAAAGAAAGAAAAGACATGGTTCCAGGTCTCCAGGAGTATATGGCGGCTGGGGAAAAACAGCCTGCAAAATAAGAGAATACAGTGTATTGATGGAGCCCAAACCCTTAGCCTTAGGTTCTTATCTCATTCTCTGCCAAGAACTCAAATTTTGAAAGCTTTTCTTATCTGCCAAACTGTATGTGATAAATCATAATTTTTGTTTCCATGAGATCACCAGTGTTGCTGTACTCACTGAGCATAATTCTATCCCAAACAAAGTATATTTAGTGGTTAGAATATCACTCTGTAACATTGCTTAGGGTTAAAAAAAACTGCTAAAAAGTGGTTATTGATGCCCATTACAGCTGTCAAAGGTCCCTATCTTGGAACCATGCTTAATGTAATTGGGAGCTAAATAGTGGTCTGGGTTGGCAGTGCAAAAGAAAAAGGAAACTACTTTGATCTTTCTGAACAGAGTGATTTACCATCCCCTATTGCCCGTTCTCTGAGGGGCTTCTCAGAATAAGAGACTTGCAGTTTTACAGCTAAGAAAGTCTGGGCTAGCCAAGACAGGTTGGTTACTCTATTCTCAAAGGTCATAGGAATGGTAGACTTTGAACAGATTGGAAATCTGTGAAATGGCATTGGAAAGCCCATGAAAGAGTACTGGAAGCCAGGAAGGGAGAGACTAAGACTGTGCTTGTTTGGGAGACAGTGAGTAGTTGAATGTGATCATGTCGGGAAGTAACTGACAAAGATTGTAAACACAACCAACACACCTGTAATGAATGACCCAAAGGATTAAAATTCTTCTGATTCAGACCTTTTGGGAGGGATGCTTCTCTCTTTAGGAAACACTGTTCTGGAATTGAGGGTAAGGCATGTCTGAACCTACCAACCTGACCACCAACACCCTGTAATTTAGTTTATGATAACATATTTCTGTTTGATTCTTGTTTTCATGTGTTAGTCTCCAATAGACTGAATCTCTTCAGAGGTATGACCTAGATGTTGTCCCCCCACCTCTCTCTCTTGCTACAGAGACTAGCAAAGCTGTGCATTTACTATTTATTTAATAAATACTACTTTGACTTGATTAAAAGATCTTCCAACGTGAGGTAAAGGGAAGGACCTGACTGCATCACAAGATATTTTTTTTTGGTCTTTTTGAGACAGGGTTTTGCTATGCAGTTCAGGTTGGCCTTGAGCTCACTTTGCAGTCCAGGCTGGCCTCGAATTTGCAATGATCCTCCTGTCTCAGCCTCCTGAGTGCTGGGATTACAGGCGTGTGCCTCTAGGCTTGCCTTAAGATATTTTTTACTCAATGCCTATGCTTCCTGGTGTGTACACGTGTTGTCAGAGTACTCTGGGTACCCAGTGTGGCCCAGTAACAAAAAAGGCCAAATTTGTATGTTTTTGGAGATCCTAGGAATAGGGTCTAAGTAGGTTCCTACTAGTTCCAAGCCCAGGGCATTGGGCTTCACAGACATCTGATTCTAGTAGATATGATGTCAGGTTTTCACCAAGATCTATGGAGATCCAGCCTTCCATTACTGTGCAGTGGCTTTGTGTATGTGTGGGTGGTTTCCTAGTCTTTTTCCTGATTAAAATCAGTTCTGGTTGAAGGCTGGGGAAGATTACAAAGATAAATTCAAGAACAGATAGTAAAAATCATCATGCTCTATTAAAAGCTATGCATAAGTGAGTCATCTCTGCCATATCATGGGCATGTCATGTAGCGGCTGGGCAGTCTAGGGCAGTCTGATAACTGAAGCATTCTTGCTCTTCTCTGTGTACAGTGTTTGCTTTTTCTGGCACCTATACCCTGCTATTTGTGGCCCGAACCCTCCAAGGCATTGGATCTTCATTTTCCTCTGTTGCAGGTAGGGCTGACAAACATTTCTTACCACCTCTTACTACCTCAGGCATTATCATATTTATATAAGGAAATTAAGGAAAAATATCAGCCTTATAGGTAGAAATTATGATTCAGGATTAAGGTAAGTGTTGGGTTGCTAGCAGGGCCTATAGATCCCTAAGCCTGTGATAACTTCCTGTGATAATATTCAGCTGCAGCTAGCTCAGGTCAGAACAAGCCCAGGTAAAGCCACAAAGTAGGTCAAGCCTTCACTTACTGCCACTTTGCGGCCCTTTTTCTGTTGCCCTCTTCTTTCATGAGAGGAGTTATATTAAAATTGCCAGAAATAACAGTATAGTTTGCAAAGTATTGCTAAACACTTCACAACATTTCACGGACTCTTGTGAGGCTGGTATGCCATTTTCCAAGGTGAATATCCTGAAACCACAGCTACAATGCACTTTCCCCGGTGCTGGGCATATTCATGCTCCTCCTCAGGCACCATATTGAATAGGATAGTCTGTATTCACTGGGGTTCCCTTCCTTAGTCTTCCCTATGAACTGAGGCATAATTAAACAATTGTATTTTATGTTACCCTTCCCAGAGGCTTCGCATTTCCAAAATTATTCAATTATCAGATGAGTGAGTAATGTGAGGATTTGGGGGACCAGTGGGGAGCAGTATTTACAGTATGCTGTGGACTAAGTTTTGTGAGCCAACCCTTCAAACTGGAACTCTAAGATTGTCACTCAAGGTATAGTAAGGCAGGGACCAAAGACTTTGCGGGGTCAGACAGAAACCTCTTATATGCCATCCTCATCTGTCATTCTCTGTTCAGGTCTTGGAATGCTGGCCAGTGTCTACACCGATGACTACGAGAGAGGCAAAGTCATGGGAATCGCTTTGGGTGGCCTGGCTTTGGGAGTGCTGGGTAGGTTGTGCCTGGCTGGAGACTGAGGTTCAGGAGGGTGGGGGTACTGCAGACCATGAGAGGTGGTTCCAGAAGCAGGTGTTTCCAAGGACATGGAAGACAAGTATTCTCCTCCCTGGTCCAATCTCATGTTGACTTCTTTGAAAATATCACCATGGAAAGGTTTCTTTTTCCTTAAGAAGTAGAGCAGCCCATAAGAGCCCATAAGAGCCTGGGATAATTCCAGGAGACCAGCCTGTCCAAGGGAGTGAACATTCTACATTTGTACTCGTGGCCTGTCTCACCTCTGCTTCCACATGTGGCCAGAGCTTCCCACATGAAAGCATGCCCTTTGCCAGGTTCTCTACCGGATTTATTGTAGATATAATCTCCTTTGTTCCACACCACCACTTTGGGAAGAAGTGACTGCCTCAGGATAGAGGTGAGGATAAGGAAGGTTAAGTAATCATCCAAAGTCACAGCCAGGCAGTGCAAGACCTAGAATAAAGACTGAGACATTCTTCACTCAGAATCCAAGCTACAAGCAATAAGGTTATACTTTTTCTTGCAGTTCATTCGTATTGCTTAACTGATTAGACCTGACAAGTCACTTCTTTCTGCTGAGCATTTTCTACATGTCAAACACAATGCTAGCACAGAGGGCATGTTGATGAGAAGCTCCAGGCATACAAAGTCCTGCCTTCTAGGAGCTTTTGCGCTCATTGAGACAACACCTAAAATCCTTTTAGAATGGGATCACCTTTCACCACCATGGAAAAGAGAAGAAACAAAGTTCTGTTCCTCACTCCTCATCTGCAGACTGAGTAATACTCAACTTTAAACTTCGGTGCACCCTGGTTCCTTCATCCCAATCAGTTTCAAGTGAACAGACCCATTTTATCCTCTACAGTTGCTTTGAGGCCAGCTCACCTGTTCCTGATTGGATCGTGATACCAGCCTTCTGCCTGATCTCTTTCACATTCTGTCCTCCTTCATGGTGCTGCCAGAAGAATTTTTCTGAGCTCAAAGCCTGTGGTGTTTCTCTCCTGCTAAAAAACAGAGATGTTTCTCCCCAGGCCAAAAGGTCTAGCAGACAGCTCATCCAGATATCTGGGGGATTGGTTCAGTGGCCTCAATCCATTCCATCTGTACTCTTCCCCTTGCAAGTACTCACACTCTAATGACACTGACTTTCTTTTTTTTTGTCTTTTTGAGAGTCTCACTGTGCAGTTCAGGCTGGCCTTCAACTCACTTTGTAGCCCAGGCTGGCCTCCAACTCACAGCGATCCTCCTGCCTCAGCCTCCCGAGTGCTGGGATTACAGGCATGCGCCACCACACCCAGCTGACACTGACTTTCTTCTCCAGTGGCACCATCTTTTCTGACAACTCTGTGTCCGCCTTACCTGCTTCCTGCTTCTGCACTTGGCAAAGCCCATGTGGCCACCTAAACTCTCTGACCCATGCCCCTGGGCTTACACAGCGCTGTGTGCACACACCTTTTACTCCCCAGCTTTTCACCGCATTCTAATTATTTCCCCTCTGACCCCCAAGCATGTTTCCTTCACTGCAAGGACAATGACCAAGTCTTCATCTCTGAGGCCCCAGAACCCCCAGTGGAGCTTAGCCCTTAGTAGGTCTTCAATAAATCCTCACTTCATAATGTGGATGAGTCTCACCAGCTGGGCTGGGCCTCACCTCTGCGTATGTGACGCTTTGCCTTTCCAGTGGGAGCTCCCTTTGGAAGTGTGATGTATGAATTTGTTGGAAAGTCTGCTCCCTTTCTCATCCTGGCCTTCCTGGCACTACTGGATGGAGGTAAGTCAGCAGTGGGGTCCTGGGCAGTGAGAGTCCAATCAGCTTCAGAATGCAGTCTGTCAGTCTTTACCACTGGTGGGTGGTCTGTATGTGTTCAATGGAGCAAGGCTTGCCCTATCTTAGAAAAGACGTTAGCTGGTCGCAGTGTGGCTATTGTTAGAACCCCTGCCTGACCATGAACAAGCTGAACTCTTCCTCTGCTCTCTTCTTGCTTAGCACTCCAGCTCTGCATCCTGCAGCCTTCCAAAATCTCTCCTGAGGTGAGTGGACACCAGTTCCATCACTAAGAGACACGCAGAATGGCTAGGTACTGGGACCCAGGTATGCTTGGCACACTGTCGGAGAAAAGGGGAAAGAGAATAGTTTCTGCACAGGGCTGCATTTAAGGCAGTGTAGGAAGTGGCAAAGGAGTCTAACAAAGAGGGAGGACCAAATAAGTCTCATCCTGGAGAAGAATTTCAGCGGCCTCCAGACAATCTTTCTGCATAAAAGACTTCCTCCAAGACATCCCTAACAGATGATCATCTGTCACAGATAATGAATACCAGAGTTGACTGGTCTGATTCCATGCCAAAGATGCTGTGTGAAATCAATATCAAATTATGTTGTGATGAATTACTCAACAAACAGAAGAAAAAGGTGCAGGAAATATGGAAAAGTTTAATCTAAAGACCCTGACTTTGCATCTTAAAGATCATCAAGGTATTCCAGAAGTAATTATAATAATACCTCTAGTAATTATGTCATCTATGCTTTATCTTACATAGTCTAGTCTCATTCTACAGACACAGAGACTGAAGGTAAAGTGAGAGGCATCTCAGATAATTTGACACTGTGACAGAGTTGGCATTTTGATGGTGCCACTTCCCACACAGTAGTTGGGAGCCTTCTGTGGTCTGCTGAAGCTGAGATGATGTCACTCTTCGGGAACTGGCTCTACAGGTAGAGATGTCTGGGTACTCAGGGGTGGATGAAATTGTAACCACTACCCACCCCAAACTCCTCAGAGCAGGGAGCACCACATGCCTTCTGCTCAGACTGCCAGGTCTGGAGTGTGCTTGGTCCCAGTCCCTGCCCAGGCGGAGGCACATTCTCGCAGATGGTTCCACCACTATTTACTGAGTACCCTCTGTACCAACAGTGATAACTCATTACACCAAAAGACCAAGTCTGGGCAAAAGGAAACTAGGAAAAAGGATACTGACATATATTTTTATGAAGAACCTGATCATGGCATCCGGGGGAAATCAGTGCTTCACTAGACTTCTGAAACTTTTCATTTTGAATTAATTTCAAACTTACAGAAAAGTTGTAAGCATAAGATATCATACATACCCCTATGAAAGAGAACTCCCATAATCCAATTTCTTTACTAATGTTTAACATTTTTGCCATATTTCTTTCTTTCTTTTTCTTTTTTTTGTTTTGGTACCGGGAATCAAACTCATGACCTCAGGCTTGCCAGGCAAGCGCTTATGCTGCTGAGCTATATCCCCAGCCTGCCATATTTCTTTTTTCTCTGTCTCTCTCACACACACATCCACAAATTATTATCATTCTTTATCTTTTTCTGAACCATTTGAGAGTAGAGTGTTTATGTCATTCCTTTACCCCTTAATAAAGGATTTTCCTTGAGAACAGAGCTATTTTCTTATGTAATGGCAACTGAGTTATCAAATCCAGGAAATTTAACATTGGCATAATATCCAAAGTTCCTAGTCTGATTTTTCCATTATCCTGATAAAGTTCTTTTAGCAGTCTTTTTAAAAAAGTAGTCAGTATAGGATTTAGTCCAGGATTATGTGGTACTTTCGTGTGTCCCCTCTTTTAGTCTCCTCTAGTCTGGAAAAGTTCCTCTGTCTTTCTTTATCTCTCATGGCATTGAATTTTTGAAGCATATAGTTATTTTAAAAAAATCTCCCTTGTATGGCTAGCCTGATGTTTCCTCACAACAAGCTCCAGGTGATATACCTCCTGTCATCATATCATCTAAGAAATACTGTGCCCATCTAAAGTGTTACATCTGGAGGCACACAATCCCCACCCACCCGTCAGTGGTGATCATTTTGATCACTGGGCCAACATGCTGTGGGTCTCTCCACTGTGCAGTTATAATTTTCACTTTGTAACTGATGAATAGTCTGTAGGAGACACTGATGTCATATTAGTCTCCTGTCTTCTCCAAATTTCACCCCTCCCTGGGTTTATCATACATCAATGATCCTTGCCTGAGCCAATCCTTACCATAATATTTGATAAATTCTGGGATTTCTATTTTATAAATCCCTCTGCATCATCAGTTGACATTTTGCTGTACGAAATAGTCATTTCTTTTTCTATCTTGATACATACTATATGTATACTTATACATATTGTATGCAAACATATATACTTTATTCATTTACCTGCTTATTTTTAGTTGGAATCTATAGATTGCTATTTTGATCAGTCGATTTTAATTCTTCATTGTCTATTTACATTGATGGTCGAATTGACCTAGACTTGGCAAATGGGAGCCCTTTGAAACTGGCTCTTGTGCCATGTTAGTGTGCCACTGTATTTTTTGAGTGAAGTTTTATTTTCTGTACCAAAGCTTGTCCCATGCTCATCTCTTACCTTCCTTGCTTCATCCCTGGAACCAACCATTTCTCCAAGGAGAGCTGGTTTCTTTTACTGGGGAATGGTGCTTAGAAACCAAAATATGGGCCCTTGGTCTGCTCACTGCTGTTAGGGTCTCCTCCTTTCTAGGCCCCCTCAGTGAGAGAGCTAACACACACACACGAGTTCATAGTGAAGCTTCTGCTTCCAGCCCAACTTTGCAGGACTTTTGTTGCTTTTCCTGGTCTGTATTTGTATCTTGGCTCTCTCCCAAATTAAGACATTTACCTATTGGTTCCACCTTTTAACAATTTATAATATTATGACTTTTATGCCCACAACACTGTAAAAAACAAACCTACTAAAAAGTATTCAAGATCCTTGTAGTTCTTTGCTCTTAAGCTTGAACATAACAAATTTGAGGAACCTGGAGATGAGAAGGAAAGTAGTTCTGGCAAAGAGAACAGTGATAGCGGAGGGACTGCGGGATTGCACGGGCGGTGGGAGGGGTGACCAAGTGTGCTGGGATAAGGGTACACCAAGAGGGAGGGGAAGCTAGAACCGGGCATTTAGGCCAGTGTCTTAACCCAGATGGTTAAGCTCTCCATTACACCAGTGCGGTGTGCCTCACCTGGGCAAGAGGAATTCAGATGGCTTGAGGAGCTTCCTGAGGTAGCACTTCTAAGCTCACTCAGGACTCAGCGCTTGGCCTGTGGTCCTTCAAAAACAGAAGCTGGTGCCAGATAGATGGAGCAGAAAGGCCTTGGAATGCCTGTTGCCCAGTCCCGGCCTCACCATCCTTCACTTGGACCTGACTGAGGTCAAGCAGAGGCAGGCATTATGCTTGAAGTATGATGCAATTTCCCTGTGATTATCTCAGCCTGGTACACATGGTGGGCTGTGCCTCCAGCTTACTCTGTGACATCAGGTAAGTCACCTCCTGTCCCTGGACTTGGGTTTCTTGATCTCTGCAGTAAAGGAGCTGGTGTAAATGGTCTCCAAGGTCCTGTGTGTGTATTCTCATACTGCAAAGATGGGAGGGATAGCCGGTCGTGGTGGTGCACACCTGTAATCCCAGGACTTGGGAGGTTTAGGCAGGAGGATTGCTGCGAGTTTGAGGCCAACCTAGGCTACAAAGTGAGTTGAAGCTCAGCCTGAACTGTATAGTGAGACCCTGTCTCAAAAAAGACAACAACAGGGGCTGGGGATTTAGCTCAGTGACACAGCGCCTGCCTGGCAAGCAAAAGGTTGTGAGTTCCATTCTCGGTACTGGAAAAAAAAAAAACCAAAAAAGAAAAAAAAAAGACAACAACAACAAAAAAGGCAGGAGGGATGTGAACACTGTACTGATGAAGATTTTTTCTTGTCCATGTTCTCAGAGTGCCAAGGGGACCCCACTCCTAATGCTTCTCAAAGACCCTTATATCTTGGTGGCTGCAGGTAAGCTTGCAACGGTCCCCTTCTGGACTAGAAGAGTCTGGGCCTCAGGAAGCCACAGTGGCTCACAGAACCATCTCTCCAGGTTCCATCTGCTTTGCCAACATGGGAGTGGCCATCCTGGAACCCACCCTGCCCATCTGGATGATGCAGACCATGTGCTCCCCTGAGTGGCAGCTAGGTAAGTAACTTGGACCTCACTTTAGACTTGGGCAGAGGTAGGTGCTGTGAGCCCTCTCTCAGGCAACCAGGAAACATCACCAAGCCCAGGTCATCAGCATCTTAGAGGGACACTGTTTCCTTCGTAGAATTACCTTCCGTGTGGGCAGCCATCCAGAGAAGCAGCCTGAGAAAGGACGGGTGACAGGAGCTATACCTAGCTAAATGCTAAAGGGATTAAAATTTTCCAGTCAAAAGACAGGATTTTGCTTCAGGTCCATGGATTAGTGACGTAAACATGAGCAAATGACCTTTCTCATCTCTGAAATGGCATCAATCACCATCTAGTTGAAAGAACAATTGGAGGAATAAATGGTATAGGGCGTGGAAATGCTTTGTACACACACAATATTGCCATGCACTATCATTCATATTAATTGTAGGAATGAGTGACGTAAGCTGTGGGCATGCTTTGTACCACACGCAGTGTGAACCACCAGTATGATCCACATGTTTTCCTCTTCCACACCTCCAGCCCTTTTGCTGTCTTTTCACCTCTAGAAAGGCTGTTGTGGAAGAAACACTGCAGCTCTCACCTAGGGAAGGTGCTGAGCTCTGTGGAAATCTCTAAGGCCAGACAGAGGGCTCCAGCCTCTCTGCTGGAGCCTCAGAACTCACTTGAGCTTACAGAAAAAGCTCCAGCCCCTTCAGGAAATCAGAGCAAGGTGACAGAGAAGGCTACGTGAAAATGGCTCTGTCACTGCAGGGAGAGGAGGCTTATGGACCCGGAGGGTTAGCTGATAAGAGCCTGATACAGCCCAGGATGCGCTGAAAAACACCAAATCTAATTTTTTTAGAAAACAATTGTAGGCAAAGTTCCCAGTTGCACTCCTGGCCCCAAATTGAATTTTTCTGGAGTGCAACTGCCTCTGGCCTTGATAATTAATTGAGTTAGGCAGTGTTCAGTGCACATAATGCATCCCCTGCCCAAGGTCTGACTACTGAGGCTCCTGGTGTCCGTGAGCGACTGCAGCAAGCAGGAGCCCTCCCCCAGCAACCCTGGTCCCAGCCTCAGATACCAGAGACTCAGTTCCGGGTTACCAGCGTCTTGCGCAGCTTTCCTCACTGCTCTCTGCATCTGTAAAGTCTGACACTGGAGGTTCTCCAGGGCTGACACCACAGTCACCCCTCGAGGCTGTACAGCCTGACTGTGGGCACCGGATAGCAGGTCAGTAAAGACAAATCTGGATCTCCAGTGAGATTCCAGGTGATGCTATCCGGTCCCCAGCAGCCACACATAGAAAACTAATGCTTTACATGGAGATCACCTCTCCAGGTGGCTCAGAGGAGCAAAGGCAACCAGGTTACTGGGAGCGATATGCAGTGTGTGATGTGGCCTCTGCCGTGTGGGCCACTTGCGCCAAGCGCCGTCAGCCAGTGCTGAAAGGAGCCTCCACTGTGGAAATAGGCCCCCTTGGGTCTGAATGGAGACCTGGCCACTTCTTCACTGTAACCTTGCATGAGTTATTTTACCTCCTTGGACTCTCCTTCTTTCTTTGTAAAAGTAGAGATATCTTCCTAAGTTATTCTGGCCTATGTATTTATTCCAAAGAGATTAGCACCATGCATAGAATATGGCATGTAGTCAGCTAATAAGAATTATTATTTGCTATTTCTGTAATTTTTTATTTAAACCATCTTGATAGTCACAGCTGTATGTTCTCTGCCGCTCTTGAAGACACGCTGGGATCGGGTGCACCTGTGCCAGGGGACACGGAGTCAAGAATACACAGCGCTGGGGCAGGGTAAACTAAAGTCAAGTTATAAACAACAAGCTTCAGGGACTGAGGAAAGTCTCCTTTGGAAATGCCGCACCATTCACAGTGATGTCAAGGAGATATGTCCAGGCCAGCAAGCTTCCCAGAGATGCCTATTTCCTCAAATGAGATAAACAGTCCAGGAGACATAACCTCTAAGTTTTTTCTCAGGCAATTACACATAAACAAATAGATATACTTTGGAACAGATTGCCACCCCTGTGCAGATAGACTGGACAAACACACTGAGCTAGCCTTCGTTTCTACTCCATAGAAGAGAATATTAAAAGCAAACAAGCCATCAGCCAGGACCTGGTGCCCTGTTGACTTTGGGTTTAATGAGGTTTTCACTTGGGCTCCATTGTTTCCTTTACAGCCAGAGAAGTGTAGTGAGGGCTGCTGAGACCCAAAGAAACTCATGCTGCTAATTCCAAGCAGGTCTTTGCTCCAGAGCCATCGGTGCTATCACATCATTGGGGTTGGGTGGTGGAAATGCCTGGCACTAAAGCAGGAGGCCTGGGTTCTGGTCCTAAACCAGGCACTCACCAGTTATGATGAGAATAAGGTCAGTACCTCCAGGGCACCTACCGTGCGAGGCACCGTGCAGAATACTTGATAGGCAGTATTACCTTTAAGCTTCACAACCAGCTCATCTGGAAAGAATTCTTATCATTCCTTGTATGAGTATATTTTTATCATTATATCCACATACCTGAGACAGGCTCATTTTATACAGTACAAAAGACTTATTTAGCACAGTGTTGGAGGCTAATGATCCAAGCAGTAGAGTGTCAGCTCTGGGAAGGGCCTCTGGCAGATGGCCAGAGTATGTGCAGAAGTAAAGGATTACTTCACCTAACAGGAAGCTAGAGTGTGACCCGGTGGTCTAGCTCACACTTATAGCAGTTCACTCTTGGCAAAGCTCAGAGACCTCATGTTACCTTAATACACTTGGAGGACAGCTCCCCTCCCATTAGGCTCCACTCTTAAAGGTCCCATCGCCACTTGTATCACTACACTGGAGACAGCCTCCTGCACAGGACCCTTTGGAGAACACACTCAGACCACAGCAATCTCTTATTTCAGAGAGCTCTTAATTTCCCATTAGACCTCAGTTTCCCACTCTTCTCCCAAACCTTGGGCTTTGTGGGACTCCCTGTCATTGGTGAGAGCCCCAGGACCTCATTCTTTTCTCTGATACCTCCTTCATCTTCACTGTACCTGGATACAGCCTCAAACGCTGCTTTCCCACAGCCCTGTTGATGGAAGTCCATCTTTCCCCCAGGCCATGCTCTCTGTTCTTGCTTCCAAACTATTTCTTCTCTGTCCTTCTTCAAAGACCCTGTCTCCATCGCAGAGCATGCTGTTAGGTTGTACCACCCACCAATCTTCATTGTAATCATCTCCTGGTCTGTTAGCGCCCCGCCTCATTCTTTCAAGATGCTGACACTGTTCTTTTCTCTTCTACTTCTGCTGCCATTTTCAGGGATGTCAGTATCCAGGTGAATAACCCTACCAACATCTAAACCTTACTTCCTTAATCTACTGTCTTACCATGATTATTTTCTCCTGTCTCCTTTAACCAATCAATCCTAGGTATACCCTTGGCTTTGACATTTTTATTAATTACATCACTTCTGCAATCTCAATTCCAAGCAGCCTGTTACATGCTCCTTGCTTTGATGTTCTAATAGCCCATGTTAACTTTGGCCAAACTAAGATCAGCAATCTACGGGTCTCAAGTCTATTACTATGTCCATCACTACTCATGTCCTCCCTTCTTTACTCAGTTTGGATTCTGTAGTTCATCACTAATGCCGTCCTCTCACCCAGAAACCCCCACTTCCTCTGAGCTGGCCACCTGGCAAAGCCCTGACCCTGGTTAAAACTGTCCCATTGTTGTTCCTTGTTTGTACCTGAAGAGTGGAATGGAACAGTGGAAAAACACACAACCAGATAACTGCTTTCACCTTGTATTTATGACTACAAACTTAAAGTGGGTTTCCCCACTGTTTAACAATCTTTCTGTAAGTCCCTGGTCACACGTTCCTTTCTACTTTGCACAATGATGATTTCCTGTCTTTCTATTCAGATTTACTGTTGAACCCCATTCCCTCACCTGTCTTTTTCTTTTAGGCCTTTGTATTTGTATGAAGTGCTAAACACATACATACACACACACACACACACACACACACACACATACACACACGAGTGGATCTCCTCAGCTTACACCATTTTCTCAGAGTCTTTCCTTGACCCCGCTTTCCCCTCCAAATCCAAGGTAGATTTCTTCCTGGTCACTTTGCCATATTGCCACGTTAAGTTTCCTCCATAGAGCACAATATTTTTCAAAATTATATTTTCTTGTTTCTTGTTTATTTTTTTGCTGTCCATTTCTCTCTGCTGGAATGTGAACTAGAATTTTGCCTGTCTATTCCGGACTCCATTCCTGCCTGCAAGAAAACTGGCAGTTGGTGAAAGTTTATTATGAGGGATGAATGGATGAATGGGATTCAGAGACACTAAGTAAATTGCCCAAGGTCATAGAGCTCACAAGTGGCCAAGCCACAATTTGAATTCAGAACTGTGTGGCAAACCCATGTGTCTAGTACGCTTTACTCTACTGTCACACAAAGCCGTGTGGCCAGGGCTTCCATTTACAAAATGTTTCCGTATACCAGATCTAGTTTGCTTTTCCCTGTAACCTGATAGGGTAGAATCATAGCTTTGCTTTTCCCAGATGTGGAACCAAGGCTCGGAATGTTTTAGGAACTCATCCAAGGTCACTGGCAAAGGGATAGAAGGACAGGTGAATAACAAGGTGAGAATTTTATTTTCCAAGAATATGTGCATCTTTCATGTTCTCACCCTGATGATCGAGCATCTTTTACACATTACGATGGCGCATTAGGCCTCTTTCCAGAAAGTCTAATGAGGGACCAGAAGCACATTCAATGTGTTAAGGCTGAACGACCCTGCTCTTAGGAAAAGCAGTGGTGTGGGGTCCTATGCCTTCTGCTCTGTGTTTGCACCAGGATCTCCAAACCACAAAATAATGTGCTTGGGGGATTCTGGAAGGTAAGAGAGGAACTCTGCTGTCTCCTAGGAGACAGGTATTTCAGAGTCAACTGGACATGTCCTAAGGTGAGGATCTGTGTCCTTCTACAGGTCTTGCTTTTTTGCCTGCCAGTGTGTCCTACCTCATCGGCACCAACCTCTTTGGTGTGCTGGCCAACAAGATGGGTCGGTATGTAGCCTATGGGCCTGGGAAGAATGCTAGGAGCACAGGATGGGAAAGACCTGTACAGGACTTAGGCTGACAAACAACTTCTCTGGGACTGGAAGTTTAGGATAACACAGAGTGGTAAAAATTGCCCACTGGGAGGAATGAGAAAGGATGGTCCTGAGCTGAATGCTGTACAAGAGGCAGTGTATGCATGAGGGACGGTCTTTGCTTTCCTGCTGTTCCCTATCCACTTGAGGAGATAAGAGAATCCCCAGAGAAAGCAGCTGTGAAGAAAGGAGCATGTACTTTGGGGCAGTCGTTGTCAAACTATGTTCATCAGACCCCTGGGGATCTGACAGAGGGGCCTCAGAAGCCACTAAAGAGGTGGGCTGGGGGTTGAGTGGGAAGTGTCCAGATTCTGTTCCTATATTACAAGGAAAACAGCTACAGCTTTAGTTTTTATCTTTGGAGTTCAGAATACAGATTTTTACAGTCACTGCCAATGGAAAGTAGAGACAACAGGAAATTTGAAATTTCCTGTTTGCTTTTTGAGTTGGACATTTGCAATCAAAGTGTAAATGGGTAGGAGGTAGTCTAGACTGGAAAACCATATAAATCAAGTTCAAGAGCTTCTCCCAAGGGTGCCTTCTGAGCCAGCAAGTTCCTTTTCTAAAGGAAGTAAGGATACATCCCGCTGCACCATCCCTGCCTCTGTAATGGCAAGGGGACTGGATCTGGGCTGGATCTGGGCTGGTGGAAGATGAGAACAAAGGAAGGATAGGAAAGACCCAAACACAAGCAGGTCCTGTAGAGATGCAGTTATTCTCTTTCGTCCTCCAAAGTGTTGGAATTGGGGGTGGTAGGACTGGCCAGGGTGGTGGGTTTGGAGTGACAGGTGACCTCTCCCCTGACTCTTGTCTGGTCATGGCCCTTTTCTTGCAGGTGGCTGTGCTCCCTGGTTGGGATGGTAGTCGTTGGTATCAGCTTGCTCTGCGTAAGTATAATGAGGTCTAGGGGAGAAACAGACAGATATTAATAGACCATTTTTTTTTCAAATTAAGTAGAGCTCACTTGGCAAGAACTGCCAAAAAACTGTTTCTCAGTAGAAATGACCTAGCCCTGGGGGAGATGCTACCATCCAATTGGTGTGCCATCGAGAAGAGGTGGGCAAGGAGAGGGAGAGGAAGGCAGTGGGCAGAAGGAACCAGAGGTCTGAGGCTTGGTGTGCAGGCACACAAAAGCAGACACGTCAGCAGCTATGGTGCATCTTATGACTTGATTCGCTTACCCACTCTGACAGGTCTGCATAAGTCACCAAAGAACCACCATCTGTGCCTTGATCTCTGGCACCATAATATTTGGTAGAAGAAAGAAAGAGGGCCTGGTTGTGTGCAGGAGCCCCTTTCAAGCTACACCTTCATTTCCTTTTGTCCCCAGAGGAGATCATTGGCACACTGGCCTCTAGGCTTGGGGGTGATGAAAGCAGAGGTGCAAAGCCCTGAGTGCTGTGCTTGGCATGGGCTGCAGCATGGGGCTCCACCCCAGCTTTGTCACTTGCTCTTTGTGTGACTGTGAGGTACTTACAGCACCTCTCTGCTCAGTGTCCTCATCTGCATGGAGAGGATTCTACTAGCAGTTCCCAGAGTGGTTATGGCAATCCACAGCACCGCGGCATGATGTGCAGCAGGCACGTGGTGGCCCTCAGTGAGTCTCCCACCCTACTAATGACAAATAGAAATACCTTTGGGCACCACTCTGAATAGTTATCAGCCACTGTCTATCCAGTATGCTAACCCCGTGAGGGGTGAGTGTGCTGGGATAAGGGGTTTGAGTGACAGCTACCCAGGAAGGCAGGACCTGCACAATAGGGAAGGGAAGACCTTGAGACTGGGCAGTGGGAATGAGTTTCCTATCCTGTCCATGCGGTGCTGAAACCGTGCCACTGCCCCAGGGGGTAACTGGTTGTTCTGCCTTTTGCTCCAATGGGTACCGAGTTCGGGATTTAAATAAACCCTCTGGATGAGGTCAGTAACGGAGAAGAGGAGCAGCCCCATTTGGGAGGAGTGAGGACGGAAGGGTGTCTAGGAGGAGAACAGTGGAGAACGAGGAGGAAGAGTGCGCGTGCGTGAACTGGAAAGGGCCATTGGCGCAGCACCACGGAGTCAAGCCTGAGGTCCAAGCTTGATCTTGCAGCATGTTAGCTCTGTAACTCTGGGGAGGGCGTTTAATGCAATTGACACCAGTCCTGTTTTCATGTCTTAACGTGAAGGTAATGATTCTTCTTCACAGCGAGGTGTGAGAATTCAGAGTGTGGCCCACAGCACACACTCTATACGGGCCTCAGGTGAAGCCTCGGGCCCACCCCGCCCGGCCGGAGTCCTGCTGAGCTCTTCCTCCTTCCCCTTGCAGGTTCCTCTGGCTCGCAGTATTTTTGGTCTCATCGGCCCCAATGCTGGCCTTGGCTTTGCCATAGGTAAGAAGTCCCCTCAGATGCCTTTCTTCCTCCTTTTCTCATCAGAGGAGGAGGTGGAGAGGAAGAGGGAGCAGGAGGACAGCAGGCCGAGGGGAGGGATGAAATGGGGAGGGAACACCGTGGGTGTGCGTGGAGCTGAATGACCGTGTCTGCTGTGCTCTGACCACAGGCATGGTGGATTCCTCTCTGATGCCCATCATGGGACACCTGGTAGATCTGCGCCACACCTCGGTGTACGGGAGTGTCTACGCTATTGCCGATGTGGCTTTTTGTGTGGGCTTTGCTATAGGTATGTTGGCTGGAGAACAGGGTAGTCCCAGACCTGGGTCCTCTCCTCACTCCTATGTATAGTTGACCAGCTGGAGGTGTAACCAGAAGGCTGATCATCCTAGGGCCCTGAAGATATGCGACCCTGTGACATCCTATGGGTCACCCCTTAGGGTAGGGTCTTACAGGTGATGGAGCCTCAATAAATACTTGTGAATTTGCTTTGTTCTTCACAGGCCCATCCACCGGGGGTGCCGTTGTGCGGGCTATTGGTTTTCCCTGGCTCATGGTCATCATTGGGGTGGTTAACATCACCTATGCTCCACTCTGCTACTTCCTGCGAAACCCCCCAGCCAATGAGGAGAAGCTTGTAAGGAGTTCTAACTGCTTAACAAAAATCACGTCTACTTCTTTCCATTGTCTCATCCCTTTTTCCTATGCTAATTTCCTCCCTCTGTTGATCATCTCTCGGATTTGCCATATTTTCCCCAGTGCCTGGCCTTACCTATGTATCTTGAGAGGCCTGTGTGTGTACACAGACCAGAAGGAAGGCTCCAGAGTGTAAGGTTGCATCTTGAGTTTTTCCCCTTTTTATATTTATCTTCCTGTTGTATCCTTCCTTATTTTCCCTTTTCTAAATATCTACACCTATTATTATTATTAATTAATTTATTTATTTTAGATAGGTCTTGTTATGTAGTTCAGGCTGGACTTGAACTCACTTATGCAGCCCAGGCTGGCCTTAAACTCTCAGCTACCCTCCTGCCTCAGCCTCCCAAATGCTGGGATTACAGGTGTGCATCACCATGTGCAGCTAAGAAGGATCTTAAGAATGAAAATGGAGCCAGACATGGTGGTGCAAGCTCGTAATCCCAGCACTCTGACAGCCTGAGGCCCGAGGATTACAAGTTCAAGGCCAGACTGGGCAATTTAGTCTTGCAACTTGCAAGACTCTGTCTCCAAAAAAAAAAACAAAAAAAAAACCTAAAAGAAAACAAAACTAAAACTAAAATAGAAGGACTGGGGATGTAGTTCAGCAGGAAGATCCTGAGTTCAATCCCCAATACTGAAAAAAAGAAGGAAGAGAAGAGGAAGAAGAAAAGCAGTTATCCTGTACTCACTGTAGTTACTGTAGTTATTAGCACAGTGTAAATTAACATATTATTCCTTCCATAAATGGGCAGAATTCCACTGGCCACATTCATTCATTCATCCATTCATTTGACTCTGCCATTATCTGCTTTTGTTTTGTTTTGTTTTGTTTTGAGACAGGGTCTTGCTGTGTAGTTCAGGCTGACCTTGAACACACTATGTAGCCCATGCTGGCTTCCAACTCACAGCTATCCTCCTGCCACAGGCTCCAGAGTGCTGAGATTATAGGTGTGCACTACTACATCTAGCTAGTCTGTCCTTATCTTTACTGGGTCTCTCTCTCTCTTTCTCTCTCTCTGTCTCTCTGTTGTTGTATTTGGGGCAACTCTTTTTGAGGAGTAAAAACCTCAGGGGAAAGATCTTATGTATATGATTTTAGCTAACAGGGTGTTTTCCTCTTGTCCCAGCGTTCAACCCTGGGGGTCTGATGAGTTGGGAATGGTTGGGGATGAAGGTCTGGTAGGTTGGGAGTGGTTAATGTTGCTCAAAGGAATAAAAGAAGACGGGAAGCTCTGGTAGAAGGCAATGTCAGTTTCAGCCGGCTTCCTGCTGTGTCTTGTACTATCACTGGGATTCAGTTAAAAGCATATTAGATGTTTGTCCCTGCAACGGGTGCTTACCTATGTATCTCTTCTTTTTCTTTGTCTTTTTGAGACAGGGTCTCACTATACAGTCCAGGCTGGCCTTGAACTCACTTTGTAGCCCAAGCTGGTCTTGAACTTGCAATGATCTTCCTGCTTCAACCTCCCAAGTGCTGGGATTACAGGCATGTGCCACCATGCCTGGCTTTACCTGTGTATCTTGGGAGGCCTGTGTGTGTACACAGAGCAGAGGGAAGGCTCCAGAGTCTATGGTTGCATCTTGAGATTTTCCTAAGCAGCGTTAGACTTGGATGAGCTAGCTGGGGACAGGAATGGGGAGATGGGAGGCAGTCAGAGATGGGTAGTGATTTCTCTCCTTGCTTCTCCCTGCAGGCTATTCTGAGTCAGGACTGCCCCATGGAGACCCGGGCGTATGTGACCCAGAAGCCCACAAAGGAATTTCCCCTCGGGGAGAACAGTGATGAGGATCCTGACAGTGAGGAGTAGCATCCTGAAGGTGACCCCTGAGCCTGGTCTCAGGTGAACCCATGAGGCTTGAACTTCAGGGGCCACCTCCTCCCTGGCACTGGATCATGATGAGCTGCTCAATGGCTCCACTTTGCTGTCTAGGGTATCTCTTTCCTCCCTTCCCATAGGGGCTGTGCCCCGAACTCTGCTCACCTGAGTAACCCTTAGATCTCCCTCAAAGCTTCTCTCCTAGGAAGAGAGTGATGCCTCCTCTCCGGAGGCTCTCAGTCTGATTAAACTTGAGCTGTGACGGGTTCTGCAAGGGTGACTCATTTTCTGGAGGCAGCAGTGAACAGCGCGCCCCTGAAACTGGAAGGGCCACGGCAAGCCTTGTTCCCTTTGTTTTCTGGTTTGCTTTGGCACATTCCCAATGTGCTGCAAAGGTGTGTCATCTGCTTGGTGGCGTATTCCTCCCCAGGTTTTCCCAGCTGGGAGGAGCAGGTGCTTTCAACATCGTGCAGCTGCCAACCGGGAGGGTATTTTTCTTACTTAAAAAAAACAAAAACTGATTTTTCTGTAGCTAAACCTACTTACTGCTTCTCAAAGGACTCCCTAAAATGAACGGGGTGTCTTCCTGGTTTCATCATTATCCAATAGAACAGAAAGCAGCATATTTCTCTGTCAGTTGAGTTACTGCCATCTTTATTCTTTGTCGTGTATGTTTTTGAACTTCTTTTCTGAACTTCTCAGACTATTAGAAAGAAAATGAAGTGAAGGGGAGGCTGAGGCAGGAGGATTGTAAATTGGAGCTTAGATAACTTAGTGACTTAATGAGATCCCATCTCAATATTTAAAAAAACCGTGTAGAAAGGTCTTAGGTTCACCTGCCCCTAGAAGTATCCTAATGGACCCAAGGTGTCATAGGAAAAAGAGAAAAGAAACTGCTGTGAAATCTCTCCCAATGTGGATTTCCTAACATGAGTCGCATAAGGAGCCATTGTTCACACCTGTTAATGAGTAAGTTATTACCTAATTCAGACTTGGAAACCAGATGCTGTTCTGCAGCAAAAGAGAGTGTGAGGGCAACTACTGTAGACTTCATAATCCTATGACATTTTGCTACAGTTTTATAATAGTTACTGGATGTTGTGCTCTCAGAGAGACAGGAGACACGGCAGCCACCCTAAGCAGTGTCCCATCTATTTGGGCAAAGCAGACCTACACCGTGTAATGATAAGCAGTACTGCAGGTGAGTGTAGATCGCACATTCAAGTACAAGGAGGCGAGGTTGTGCCAGGTGTGGGTTGGTTGGGGTAGTGGCAGAGGGCAGTTGAACACCGGATGGGGAGATCCACTGATGCATATGAGATGGGGCTGTTCAGACTTTACCTGGAGGGACACCTGGCTCTGCAGGAGTTTAAAGGGTTCAGCACAAACCCAATTCCCCAGGACACATTCAGGCTAAATCTCTTCATGAATCCTTATCACTTAGACAGAGAAGCCCCAATCGGTGGATATGTTTTTGGGGGTTGAACATTAATGACGCTCCCTGGATTTGCAAAATGAGATGCACTTATACTGTTGTTTAGTCAAGACAATATGTGTTTCGGATTATGAAGGACTCCAAAGATAAAACTAGAAAATTGTCCAAATGTGTAAACTGTAACTAAGGGCAGAGGCTGAGTGGGTGACCACAGGACCCTTGCACAAAGCTGGAGGTGGCAGTGTTGGTAGTGGTCTCATGGTCAGCTTCTTACAGCAATCGCTAACACATTCAAAAACATAGGAAGACATTTTTAAGAGGAATTCATTCCTGACTTGCCAGTTAACATGGAGTCACAAACGAAGATATGGAAAAGAAAAAAGTAATGGATGTAATGAAGACTTTCAAAATACTTTTGGATGAATCGGTCCCAAACACTACAGAGTGAGCGAGGGCATCGTGTTTAAAACTGTAGATCAGAAGTAAAGTAAGGACCACGAATATAGCCTGTGCGTGGCAGTGTATAAAAAGGAAAATCCCACAAAAAATAGAACGCTGAGAGAGGGCCCCTCACCAAAGGCAGGAAGAGGTGCACAGGCTGACGCGCTCGGCTCTGAGCTGCCAGTTGCAACGGAGCAAAGAGGCAGTGGAATTGTAAAAAGCCCGGAAAATGTTGCACATTCTCCAAGTGTCGGAAGCGCACCGGAAAAGGCCCTCTTCCCTCCCCAGTACAGAGCCCGCTGCTTCCCCACGTGGGTTGGAGGCCACAGCACTGCGTGTCCAGGCAGTGACCGCGGCCGTGGAGACGGCGCAGAGAAGCCGCCTGCGATGACAGCGGGTGGTGAGGAGGGATTTGTGTGTGGGCGTGGAGAGGGCCGGGCAAGTCTCGGAGACCTGGAACGCAGCCAGCTCCATTCCGAGGGGCCCAGGCACAGCGCCTCCGACTGCTTCTACGGGGATCTCCCTCTGCAGGCAGAGACCAGGGTGGGTATTTAAGACATCACCTCCTGTTCTGGGCGCAGTTAGGGAATCCTGTTCAGTGAAGGCCAAGCGCAGAATGATGAGTGCTCTAGGCAGACCGCACTGTTTCTGGAGGCCGCCCTGTCATGCTTGCTCCAGGCGGTCCGGAGGTTGACGTGAAGAAAGGGCAATGCACGCCTCCCATGGCGTGTCCTGGGTGTCCTGGGTGCCCCTGGGTGTGCCTGGAAGGGACATGGCGAAGGATCTCTGCGGGCCTTAGCTCGTGTTAGGCATGCCTATGCAGCTCTGAACTAAGGAGTTCACCCCTGCAACCTTGCCTAGGAGGAGGGGGACGTGCAGGGAGGAGCCGAGCCTGCTGGTTTAAGAGCAGAGTGGCCGTAGGCCGCGCAGTAGCCGGAGGAGGACAGATGAGTAGAACATCCCTGCCTCTGAGGCTCAGGTGCTCTCTTGCTCCGACTCTGACTGGCTGTGTGACCGAAGGCAAGTCCTTCCCAGGTCTGGGCTGAATGTCACTTCCATGTTCCACTGTCTTGAGACGTGCTCTCCATACATAGCCCAGGCTGCCCTTGCACTCCCAGTGATCCGCCTGCCTCAGCCTCCCAAGTGCAGGGATTATAGACGTGCGGCACCACGCCCAGCCGAGAGTCATTTTTGCAGATCTGGCTTTCGGTGATTCCATTCCACCTACAGCACGTGACTTGAGGTTTGAAGTTGTAATTTCAGGAAATTAATGGAAATTAAGTATGTTCCTTCTCCCTTCCCTTCCGCTCTTCCTTCCATCCTCCCTCCCTTCCTCCTCCCACATGCCTCTTCCTCTTCTTTGCCCTTTCTACTGGAGAAAGAACACAGTGTTAGCAGAGGCAGGAAAGTGATAAAGCTCTGTTTGGATTTGTTCTTTAAACTGAGTCACTATCCAGTCTCCTGAGAAACAGACATGCACTGATAAACAGGTTTTAACAGTCGATTGACTATATGATGTTGGTCCCATAACACTGTAATGGAACAGAAAGATTCCTCTTGCCTGGTGACATTGTAGCTGTCCTAATGTCCTGTGGTAGCACACTACTGACATGCTCATGGTGACAATGGTGTCCACAGACCTCTTGCACAGCCAGTGACAAAAAAGTACAACACGTATCATCACATACAGTACATAAGGCTGTATATGATAATATATAACTGTTACTAGTTTGGGTACTGTACTATGCTTTTTGTGGTTATTTTAGAGAGTGCTTTGGCTATTGATATATTAATTTTTTAAAGTGAACCATAAACCAGCCCCCCAGCAGAACCCTCAGGAGGACTGCTGAAGAATACAGCTGCTGTTTTTACAGGAGACAGCAGTTCCATGTGTGTCACTGCCCCGAGGACTTCCCAGGGGGTGAAAGGTACAGACTGAAAGCAGCGGTGTTGATGACCCTGACCCTGTGTAGGTCAAGGTTAATGTGTTCTTGCCTCCATTGTTAGTTAAAAGTTTAAAAAGGAAAATAAGTAGAATGTTAAAGTTGAATGAAAGAAAAAATGAATGCCATGAGGATACGAAAGTATTTTTGTCCAGCTGTACAGAGTGGTTATGTTCTAGCCAAGTATTATTACAAGAGTCAAGAAGTTAAAAGAAAATTAAGCCTAGTGTAGTGGCACATGCCTGTCATCCCAGCACTCTGGGAGGCTGAGGCAGGATATCCCAGGTTTGAGCCATGCCTGGGCAACTTGATAATTTAGCAAGACCCTCTCAAAATAACAAAAAAAAAAAAAAAAAAAAAAAAGAAAAGAAAGAAAAAAAAAAGGGCTGGACATGTGGCTCCGTGTAAAGGTCCTGGGTTCGGTCCCCACTATTCCAAAACAAAAGTCAAACAATCAGAAGACTTATAAAATAAAGGTTGTTATTCAGACTTTTTAATAAAGCAGTGTAGCCAAATGCACAAGGCTCATAAAGCCCACAGCCGTCTGGAGTAACGCTCTAGGCCTTCTTCACGTTGGTCACCGCCGACTCCCCAGAGGTGCACCCGGAGCGACGTCCGGTCCCGCGAGCTCCTTGCGTGGGGCGCGGCCTGCACAGGGCACCGGCTTCATCTTCCAAGCCTGCGTCCCCGTGCCCTGCCCATGTCCAGGCACACAGCCCCTGTGACACAGCTGCCCACAGAATCCAGCCCAGCCGCAAGCGCAGCTGCGGTCTAGGAACCCTGGCTCTGCAGTAGCCTCGGGATGCAGCCGGCTCTGGCCGGAAAGTGTAGACACGAGCGCTCTGCGAGGGTCACACGGCCACAGTGCCTGTGTCTCCACCCTGTTCTTAAACGATGCAAGGCCGTGGTAAAAAAAAAAAAATACTTCAGCGCGTCGCAGAAACGCGGCGCTCTGCTGTCACCCTTCCTCAGTCTAGATGCCTATCCCTCACCTTCACATTCTATCCATTTTACATTTATTATGATTGTTGCTGCTTAATGTGTAAAAGAGATGTACTCAGCACTTTCTTTTCTTTCTTTTTCTTTTTTTGAGGGGCAGGGTCTCTCTATATAGTTCAGGCTGGTCTTGAACTCACTATGTAGTCCAGGTTGGCTTCAAACTCGAGGTGATCCTCCTGCCTCAGCCTCCCAAATGCTGAGATTACAGGCCCTTCCCAGCACGCCAGGCATACTCAGCACTTTCTGGATCTGACAGGTTCTGACCTAACCTCCTGACTCCCTTTAAGGGCAGGCCGGGATGGAGTGCTTCCATCACCGGCCAACCCCGAAACGGGGTTATACCCCTCCTAGTAATCAGTCATCGGATCTGCACTGGCTTACTGCGCACCTTTCCCTGGCCCGGCCCGGGGTTGGCCCGCCTCTGCTCCCTGGCGCCGCCCGCAGACTCTGCCCGCC